GATGAATATGTATATTTAATTTTTCTTTTTTTTTCTATAAATCTAATATTTAAAGACAAATAAAAAGAWGTTTTATTTGTTTTAACTTTGTGCACAGATACAAGGCTTTAATGTGACTGGCAGTGACTTCTCATATGCGAGTGACTGCGCGAGTTTCTTCTCCCCTGGTATCTGGATGGGTCTGATGACCAGTCTTCTCATGGTTCTGGTCCTGACCTACGGCCTGCACATGATCATGCAGCTCCGCACTATGGACCGCTTCGATGACCCCAAGGGTCCTGCCATCTCTGTGCCCCAGACAGAGTGACACAGTTCCAGGCTGTCTCCTTCTGGGTCTACCTGTCCTCAGTCATTCCCCTCACTTACATGTGTAGTTTGTCATCATACAGTTTGGTTTGTGGTGTTGTCAGAATGTATTCATCCCTGCACAATAGTATAAATGTGAATCCTGAGAAGGGAAATGTATTTTATGTAGCTCTGGTTTGTTCTTTTTTTTTCCCTCTGAAGATTTGTCAACAAAGACACAAAGATAAAAGCATGATGCAGAAAAGACAACCTGTGAGGGTGTGTGTTTGTGTAAASGATACATACAGGGAGAATTGTAACTTATTTATTAAATGAATTATGAAATGCTATTTATTGTTGATGCTGCAGTCAGTGCAGTGTTTGTTTTTGAGTAACTACGTGAAATCATTGTTGAATTTAGATTATCAACCACATTATTTATATTTCATTGCTGTGAAATTGCTGCTGTGACTCCAATAAAGTATCTAAAAAATTTTAATGGTGTTTGTGTGTATAAAAATCAGTTTATGCATTTGTGAGTCTGTTTAAAAGGAGTAGAATTCACATCCATAGAATTTAACCAAGGGAAAATCTCATGCTTTAAATAAATTTTGGTAGTATGACTGAATTAAAGAGGGGAAAAGGACAAAGAAATTACTCTTGATCACGAAATGAAAGCACACAGACACTACAAAGCAAAAATGGAAACTCCATTACATTGATTATGTATAGAACCAGCACTGCTGTGTGGATGTCTGATAAATATGTTTTAAAACTACTATTTAGAACAAAGTACCATATGTACAAAAAAGGTTTTTAAATCTCTGCTTCTTTATGCTTGTTCTTTATTTATGCTGTCATTTGACTGGAAATTAGTTCAGCAGAGAACCACCAGTCGAGCTTATAACCTTTTTATTTTATACGTTTTTCACAAAAAAAATACTTTTTTCACTCAAAATCTCTGTTTGCACATAAAAAATAAGAAATGACATTTTCCTTCATAATGTAAGTGTTTGCACTGGTTCACACAGTTCTCTGAACCTTCCAGAATCCCTGCCATCTTCTTCGAGCTGACTCTAATTTAACGGACTGAGGCAAAGTCAAAAACTTCTGTGGTCTGATAAATAAAAACTTGACATTCTGTTTGGAAACCACAGATAGCACATCCTCTGTACTAAAGATAAGAGGGACCATCCGGACACTAACGGCTGCACAGTTCCTCTGATGGTAGAAGATGTGAGTGAGGAAGAGATAAACACTTTACTTTCTCCTCATATCACTACATTTATTTTTGACTTGGTGAAATCGAGGCACCGGGTAAGTTTACTGACCAAAAAGCACTTAATTATTCAGCCTTTAATAATCAGACTTACTGTATAAACACCGAAGTGTGAGTCTGTAAAATTACAGGGAACCTTTCACCACAACAAATTTACCCCAACAAGGAGGAAACCAAACTTGTCTTTCAAAATTTTATTACAAAAACAGTTGATCAGAAAATGCGTTGAAAAGTAGGTGCAGAGCAGGAGCAAAGAGGAGAGAGAGAAGAGGAAGTTCAAACCATCTCTTCCATCGATCATGATTGGCAATGGGAAATCATAGGGGAACAAGGTGGATGAACTCCAGGCCCTAACTAGAACTCAGCCAAAATGTTGGGAGTGCAGCATTGTGACGTGGCTGCAGGATTATGGTCCTGACACTTACCCCATGGACACTTACCCTCTTGGACACTTACCCCTGGAAACTTACCCCATGGACACTTACCCCGATGGACACTTACTTCCACGGTCACTTACCCCCCTGGATACTTACCCCCTGGACACTTACCCTCCTGGACACATACCCGTGGACACTTACCCCATGGACACTTACCCCATGGACATTTACACCCTGTACACTTACCCTCCTGGACACTTATCCTCCTGGACACTTACACCCTGGACACTTACACCCTGTACATTTACACCCTGGACACTTACACCATGGACATTTACACCCTGGACACTTACACCCTGGACACTTACCCCATGGACATTTACACCCTGGACACTTACTCCATGGACATTTACACCCTGGACACTTACACCCTGGAAACTTACCCCATGGACACTGACACCCTGGACACTTACCCTCCTGGACACTTACACCCTGGACACTTACACTGGACACTTACCCCATGGACATTTACATCCTGGACACTTACCCCATGGACATTTACACCCTGGACACTTACACTCCTTACACCCTGGACACTTACTCCATGGACATTTACACCCTGGACACTGACCCCATGGACACTTACACCCTGGACACTTACCCCATGGACATTTACACCATGGACACTTACAACCTGCACACTTACCCTCCTTACACCCTGGACATTTACACCCTGGACACTTATCCCATGGACATTTACACCCTGGACACTTACCCCGTGAACACTTACCCTCCTTACACCCTGGACACTTACACCCTGGACATTTACACCCTGAACACTTACCCTCCTTACACCCTGGACACTTACCCCATGGACATTTACACCCTGGACACTTACCCCATGGATATTTACACCCTGGACACTTTCCCCCTGAACACTTACCCTCCTTACACCCTGGACACTTACCCCCTGAACACTTACCCTCCTTACACCCTGGACATTTACACCCTGGACACTTACCCTCCTGGACACTTACACCCTGGACACTTACCCCATGGACATTTACCCCCTGGACAATTACCCCCTGGACATAAAAACAAATAATTTCTCTCCGAACTGTAAACCCATGTTGGTTCTGCTCTGCAGGGAGTGGATCATGTGTGGATTGAGGCGTGGTCCCTGAGCTCTGACTGTCAGGAAGCAGCAGATGTAGACGGTTTGAGCAGAGAGGCTTCAGGGGACAGGATCTAAGACCAGTCTTCATCACTCAGAGGGGACAGGAGCTGAGACCAGTCAGAGGGGACAGGA